CAATAATCTAGTCAAGGCGTAAAGAGGGGTTTTAAAAAACCTCAAGTTAAGAGAGAGTAAAAGTGTAAGAACTTGCGTTTTCATAACGGAAGAGTGACACCGGATATCGCACCAGATAATATCAAAACTTGCCATTTCATTGATAATTCTAAAGATTTTTTTAAAACTGTTTGTTCTTGATTATATATTTTGATTAATTAAATCTTACATGACCCTCAATTTAATAATGTTAACAATTTAATAATATATAAAAATAAAATAATTTATGAGAACTATATTAACGCTATCTGTCTGTCTTATTGACATCTTCTCTAGGGTAGTATTACTCTAGAGCAGTAATAAGTCTTAATTAGTATAAAAAAAAAATTATATATATTTTTAATAATAAAATTATTTATTTCTTATATGATAACTAATAATTGATCTAATAATTAATCTGTTGTGCAATCAATTATACTAATACAGTATAACTTAATACAAAATATTAGTTATGTTTCAGTTTTCAATTTATTACGAGTATTAATTCAGTTGATTTTAGCATAAAATTAGGCTAAGTGCCCAATAAATTAAACAAAAATTTGATTGACTCAATATGCTGAGATGGTGCTATATATAATACAAACCCTTTTATATTTTAGTAGAACTATTATATTGGGTATATATAGATTTTAATTAGTTAATTAATTGCATCTCAAATATATTCAATTTGTGTATTTTTAAAATTACTCAACATATTTTAAGAATTCTTAATTTGAATATCATATCATTTCAGTTAATTATGAAAGCAGTCTCATGAATTAAAAAAGAAGTATAAACATTATTCAAAATTTTATTTTTTTTTGTGTCACTTGAAAAGTTTTTCAGCATCTGCCCCCACACAGAAGTCATCGACTTTACACTCAGAGTTGACAACGGCTTCGCTCCTGCCAAAGTCACTTTGCATTACTTCACTCCGATTTATTTTTTGCGGTGGTGGATACTTTTTAGAACTGCGGTACGAAATGTATTTGTTCAAATAATTTTCTGGTAGTAAGTGTGGAGCAGTAGATATAAATCGGAAAGTCAATGCACTATCCGTACTGTTTAATATTAAATGCATGTAAACGGAAAAGTGACGGCAAAATTGAAATGTTGCAACCAGAAGTCATCATTTCATACCGTTCGTTTCCAATGACCTGATTTTATTTGTACTTGAAGTGTATTGATTTTACTTCAAGTGTCAAAATTTTTGCAAAATAAAAGGATTGAAAGCTTTTATGTGTTATAGGTAATTATTATTATTCACATGCATGCAATGTTCATATTATTAACCAAAAGATGAATGAACAGAAAAGTGCTCCGTCTTACTTGAACATATCATTTAATGACTTTTTTAGGTTGCAATTTATATTAATAATCCTGCTTATTGACTTTATAATTGAAGTTATTAATGCTTGCTTTTAATATTTTCTAGTATTTTTTTATTAACAGAGAGGTTTCGAAATATAATGAGTCACAACGACAAAAGTTCTTTTATATAATTTTAATTAATTAAATTCTTTACTGATTATACAACTGTTTCGAGTATTGTCAAATAGCTATCATCAGTGGTCTTGGAATTATTTCTTGTATTTAATTATTCGTAATTAATTTTTAGAGACTGCAAGTACCAGGGATTGAACTCGTGCCTTGCCAAATTTGAAGCGCAGAGTCAGTGCTCATTAACCAACTGATTAACCAACTACTTGTCTTGTTCTTGTTCAGAATTTTTGGTTTTTAGGTGGGCACACACAGATTGTACGAAATTGAATTGCAGATAAGAAAGACATACGGCTAACTTTAGGCACACATTCAAAAAGTATTAAAAATGTGTGGAAACTGTTTAGATAATCTGATATTACAATATAATAAAGTATTGATACGAGGGCGATTTTATAAGTCAGTGACTCTTTGAATATCCCGCGCAGTTACTCCAAATACAACAGTGCTGCCGTCAGTTGTAGTCTACCAGTGGGCAACTTTCAAATTTTGAGCAAGCTACGTCGTTCAGTTGGTGTTTGAATTCGTGAATTTTTACGAAAATGGAAAAAAGTGAATTAAGCATTACTGGCCAACATCCACGAATTGGGATACGAACTGCTACCCCATCAAGTATATTCTCCAGATTTAACCCCCTGCGACTATTTTCTGTTTCCAAACCTAAAGAAATGGCTGGGCGGTAAGAGATTTGAGTAGAATGAAGAAGTCATTACCGAAACAAACGCGTATTTTGAGAGCTTTGAAAAAACCTAACATTTTGAGGGAATAAGAAAATTAGAAAAACGCTGGGCTAAAAGTATCGAGCTAAAAGGTGATTATGTAGAAAAATAAAATGTTTATTTGCTGAAAAAAATTTGTTTTATTCAAAAAGTCACTGACTTATCAAACAGCCCTCGTATACAAAAACTGAACAAAAAATATTTTTAAAAATGAAACACAGAATTTTAAATGTAAACAGTTTTGAAGAACTATAACTTTTGAACAGTTTTAGGCACGAAAACATATTTGCTGTTATAATAACAGATATTCAACTATTTAAATGCTCAGGTTTTGGAATATTAAAAATTATTTGATCAAATATGTTTTTTTGAAAGTTCGACTCTTTGACATCCCCAACTTCAACTCCCCACTCACCCATACTTTATAATTCTCAGACCTGGGAATCATCTTTTAAGATTATATACCCCTTATATATACACGCGTTTGTATTGTTATTATATGTACCTATGTAAAATGAAAATGACATATAGAAATAATTTGTAAAATACATATTTTACTTAAATATATTTATTGTTCATGAAGACTATTTTAAACCATTGTTATTTTCTAAAATAGAAATATATTTTAGTTGCACTAAATTGTTGAGAATTGTGTCAAAATTTTAAAGACCATTAAGTTTTAGTTTTATGACACCAAAAGCAGAAAACATGACTTGAATGCGTTTGGTGGTTTTAACGTACGGCGCTTTGTACGTCGTAAGCCATAAATTTCAATATAAACCCTTTCCATTCTATCTGAGACCAGCCGCAGTCATGTTGCCGTCACATAAAACTTTGTTATCACGGCAGCTAGTCGACGCTCTTCTTTAAATTTCAACAAAACGGCTGCACTGAGTGACGTATGAGTTTAGTTAAAAATATTCAATTGCACTGGTTTCAGACTTTATTTAATAGTTTTATGGTAGATACTTTAATCTTTTTGATTTAATTTGAAGTGTTTTTATATACAATATATTAACAAGTTTTGGCTTAATACTTCTACTACAGAGCTACATTTAAACATCTATTAGCAGCATCTATTTACCTATACTACTAATATTACTATTTAACATACTATTACTTTTATTATTGTGTTATAGCTGTGTTATATATAAGCTTTATGATTATATTACAAATCTTTTGTTGTATGAATTATGATATTATGGACATATTTAAAAAGTAAAATACGATAAAATAAGATAATGCACTTGTAGTGACACCAGATACTACCTTACATCACGGTGAAATGACAACCATTATTCGGAATATGACCTCTTCAAGAGAATATTTTTAAGTTTTTTTTGAAATTTGTGTTTTCATAATAGATAAAACTATGTCTATTTCAAAAATATTGATATAAAAGCATTGATATTTTTAATATTATATGGAATATAAAACAGAATATCGCATTTATAGTACAGATAAATGCGATAAACACGCATTAATAAGTGTTTATACGCATAAGTCGCAGTATATAAAATAATGTTTAATTAATTAATTTGTAATTAATTTAATAAAAAATTTTTAACAATTTACTTAATAATCGACTAAGTGCCATTGGTGACTTATTTACTTGACAAAATCCATAAATTTTACTAGTATGTGTCATAAAATTTGTCTGACCATAATGGGTCTATCCTTTTTGTGATGTACCAGAGACTATATTGACCGATTCAAAGCAAAATAATCTTGTTAACATTAAACTGAAGCAGAAAATCCGGTAATTTAAAGCAAAATAATCGTGTTAACATTAAACTGAAGCAGAAAATCCGGTAACTTTCGAAACTGCATGCCAATAACTTTACATATAAGAAAGGAGTGCTGACGCTAAGCTACAGCATAACGGAACATAACCTCTGAAGCTCTAAAAAATGTTTGCCAACACTAGTTTAAGGCAAAAAAAAAATCTGAAGTATACTTTATGGCTAGAATACAAAAGTTCGATTTACACAGAAAAATTCGTTTTTAAACAGAAAAACTGACACGAGTAATTCTAGAGTGTAAGGAGTTATATATTGATGTTCTAGGAATAGGTAAAATACAGTGAATTAATTGGTACGCTGAAGAGGCGTATAGTTGATCAAGACCTAAAAAATTATGTAAAGTTAAATATTGATCTTATAGGAATAAGTAACATGAGATGTAATATTATATAAGAGGAGGTGAAGTTAAGAAAGATCTAAAAAAGTTATTTGAAGTTATATATTGATGTGAAATGCTATTGAATATTGAACAGGAGAAACGTGCAGTTGACAGTAAATTTAATTGAATAATTATTAAATGTTATTCGTTGGCTTGGTCATGTCGTGCAAATGAAATAAAGTGCATCGGCTAGGAAGATGTATGATTCGGTAAACGCCGAATGATCGAAACGCCGTAGTAAACACCTGCATCTATAGTGGAAGAACCAGGTAACCAACGATTTGCGGGCGCTCGGCACTACCCACTGGTGACAACAAGCTACTGAACGGGCTGGCTGGCGAAAGCTATTGGACGCGACCCAAGAAAACTCAGATCTATTATAAGTAAGTAATTATTTAATATTTATGCTCTAGGAAAAATTAAAATGCATTGGATTGGTATGCGGGACAGACATACAGTTAATGAAGATCTAACAAAATATGCAAATGTTAATGGAGACATTGTAGAAATAAATGTATGTTAATGCGATGGAGTACTAAACTGGAGAAGCGTCCAGTCTATTAATACGCAGGAGTATAAGTAAGATTGTTTTAATTATTTTTCAACAGGAGAAGAA